GAAGCAGACACCAGGTCCCTAACTTACTGAAATGTTTTTACCATAATTCTTGGAAAAATCAATATTTTACAATATTTAGGGGGTGAAGCATGCTACTGAGATTTCCTCTGGTGGCTCTCTACATGAATTAAAACTTGCTGTGATTGTATAGGTTTGTCTTGACAAGTGTAAATGAATAAAGATAAACAGTGATTGTCCTTCATTCAATGGAATTTTCTAAAGCACACAGCAATCTCATGGAACATAAAGCGATCTCATCAAACATAGAGACATCTCACCAAACATGGCAATTTAACTGAACAGGAAGCAATCTCATCTGACATAGTCACATCTCACCAAACATGGCAATTAACTGAACAGGAAGCAATCTCATCTGACATAGTGACATCTCACCAAACATGGCAATTAACTGAACAGGAAGCAATCTCACCTGACATAGTGACATCTCACCAAACATGGCAATTTAACTGAACAGGAAGCAATCTCACCTGACATAGTGACATCTCACCAAACATGGCAATTAACTGAACAGGAAGCAATCTCATCTGACATAGTGACATCTCACCAAACATGGCAATTTAACTGAACAGGAAGCAATCTCATCTGACATAGTGACATCTCACCAAACATGGCAATTTAACTGAACAGGAAGCAATCTCATCTGACATAGTGACATCTCACCAAACATGGCAATTTAACTGAACAGGAAGCAATCTCATCTGACATAGTGACATCTCACCAAACATGGCAATTTAACTGAACAGGAAGCAATCTCATCTGACATAGTGACATCTCACCAAACATGGCAATTTAACTGAACAGGAAGCAATCTCATCTGACATAGTGACATCTCACCAAACATGGCAATTTAACTGAACAGGAAGCAATCCCACCTGACATAGTGACATCTCACCAAACATGGCAATTTAACTGAACAGGAAGCAATCTCATCTGACAAGGTGGTATGTAGATTATTGGAAGAAAGAAGATGTGTGTGTTGCAGATCTATAGGTGTCCTGCTTGTTATGGGTTTGAGTTTCTAATGACCCATTTACAGTAAGTGCTATATACTATTTGAATACCATAGCACACAACATAAACTGTATTGCCTAACCTCTACAATGTTATACTCCACTCTATACAGTTTTACATCAATAATAATGTTCTTTCTGAAGGACATTCATATCCATCTGTCTGTTTGATCCAAACCTTAAAGACTTGCAGTCCATATGCTCGAGCTCTACCAGCTGTACCATATGACCCCTGTTTATGAGAAACATCTTTTCATGGTTTTAAACTTATAATTTCATTGATACAATTTTTTCACTTAACAGGGCTGTAATGTGTGACATTGAGTCAGGTTGCTATGGTAATGTAACATGTTCTACTGTGACCCTGAAGACCAGGATACTATACACAGTGAAAGTTACAGGTCATACAGTACATGTGTCCTCAGTGTTGTGTTCTAAGTATGTCAGTATCAATTTTGTAAGCCTATCTGTAACACCTGGGTAACTAACCTCCGGAGCCTTGATGCCGAGCCAAACAATAAAGGGAGAGCACTCTGATTTGGTCTCCTGATGGAATGGTTTCTAGAGTATGTAACATATCTACCTGTATAACCTGCTGTGACATTAACTTGGAGGCAGTAAGAAAAGGACATTATTTAGGTCTGGGATTAATTATGTGAAGGAATTAACGACAAATTAAAACCACTAGAGATCTAACTTCTGTTTTGTTTTATATCTTCTATATGTGTTCTCCTACTTGATATCTGATATATGTGTACTCCGCCAAATTCCTACAGTTTTTACTGTAATGATGTTTACAATAAAACACAAGGCGAAGACATTGAATACATTAGTTATTATCCTGCCGATTTCTTAGCATATAGACATTTGTCGTAAAATGGTGGTACTAATAATAAACGCTGTAATGATTAACGAAGTCCCTGTATCTGAGTAGGTGTGTTCTCCTCAATCACAGTGTTTGCACCACCCAATCATAAACAATAATGTGTCAAGTATTAATCCTGTTACCATTACATTCAAATCTGTATTACGAGACCACCCAAGGGACGAAACACCCAAGGGAGGACACGAAAGTGGTCGCTTCCCAGAAATGGTCCCTTAGTAGAGTATTAATACAAAATAAACTATTTTGTTGGGATGAGAAAATCGTGGTCTGTTATTAGGTAGAATTGCTATACATGTATAGGGGTGGTCCAGCAGGTGTGACTATAATTAATCAGTAACACCACCAAACTTGTCTGAATTAAGAACATGTTATCATTCCGATTCCAGTGTTATATAAGTCTGATGGGAGGTGTTAGCTACAGACATAATGTTTTATATAAGTGCACATCGTGTCAAAGTTAATTACTATTACTTCAATGTCATGGTCTTAGTGTAAGGTCATATTTTACGATAATTTTCTTTTCTTTGCCTGAACAGCATCCAAAAATCACACACTGCTGTAAGTATATTTGTGAAATCAATAATACATTTTTGGTCATCTGTTACGTGACCAAGTTGTCAAACTTGAAACAGGATGTCATAAAGTTCTTTATTAGAGACTTGAATAGCTCTTACAATATGTCACATTGTTTTAAATCGTAAGTTTTCAAAAAACAAAATCAATCTGGTAATAACCCTTATAGCCTAAATATCAAGGATGAGGTTTCTGTCATTTTCTTTGGAAACAACTCTTAGCTGCATTACATTTTGTTTTATTTTAGATTAATACAAATCCTGAAAGAAATTAGTTATGAATAATCTTTTCCATACAATCCTTGTAAATTGGATGTAAAAATGCAATAAAGTTGACTAATCAGTATCTGCACCCCCACCCCTTGTTCTGTTTTAGTGGACAATCCTACAGTTATTTGTACAATTTTTCCAAAAGTGAAACAACTTATAGTAAAGAGATCAGACTTTAATCATAAAGATTACATGACAAAATGGTGTGTTAAGGGACAAAATGGTGTGTAGGGACAAAATATCAGCCCGCTGGTAGCTTATAATAGCGCACACTTGGGAACAGGCCTAGGTCTGTAGAGACAGTTTGAGTGATTTATTTAGATCTAATATCACAACTGTACCAGTTCTGTTGACATAATCACAGCTCCTAAAAGCACTTTTACCGGCCAGGAAACAATGGTGTCACTCTAGTGTGATGTTAATACTATACAGGGATCACCCAGTGGTGTCACATCAATTATTCATCAATGGACCCAACGATAACATTAAACAGAATCAAACGAAAACCATATGATATAACAGACACCTCCCTGAATGAAACCAAACAGAAACTTGATGGAATGAAACTTAACATACCAAGAAGGATTCTGTGATACGTTGACTTTGTGATTCTACAGTCGCAGGTTTTCTAGTTCTCTTTACCACAGCAATTTACTAATATCTGGCGAACAAGTCGTATGTAATACAAACGATGCATTTTAAACAAAATTACACAAAGCTAAACTTTAGATATGAAACTTCAGAGAATTATGTAACATGTCCGCTTTTCAGGGCATCTATAGGGCTAATTGGTATCTAAGCTAGCATTGGAACAAACATGAATTTCCCTTTTCCTACAAACAAAAAAACTGCATTTTTTTTTTTTTAAAGTTGATGGTATGATAAAATTGACAAAAGGCAGACAAGTTTGACAAACAGACACATCAGAGGCAGGATAGCCACATGAAGTTTAATATGATGTTCACACAGGGCAGACAATACCGTGTGTGCTTTGACAGTCCAAACCCAAAGAGACCACAACACAAATCAATCCAGTATAGTCAGTGGTAATGTGTTGAAACAATGTCACACTATACTACAGATAATGATATTTGGTAAATATTTCGTCTGACCTTGTGATCTCCATTTGTAAGCCAATGAGGTCCTTTAATTCAATTTCTCAAAGATTTCAGAAATTAGAAATTATCTTCCAAAAAGAATACACAGTTCATACAGAAATAAACAGCCTGTGATTTTCATACTATTTCATATAAGTCATCACAGATACCTCAAACCATCAGTGTGGATATTAGTTAATTACTGATTAATGATCATGTCCTAATAATTCATTTGACTAAATTAGACGATAGCAAACCACCAAAATCAAATTGTTCTAATGACTCACAAGGGCATTTACTATAATTTTGTCATGGTATATTATCAATATCATATCACTGTGACCTTGGGAAGCCATCATGTCACTGTGACCTTGGAAAGCCATCATGTCACTGTGATCTTGGAAAGCCTTCATGTCACTGTGACCTTGGGAAGCCATCATGTCACTGTGACCTTGGAAAACCATCATGTCACTGTGACCTTGGAAAGCCTTCATGTCACTGTGACCTTGGGAAGCCATCATGTCACTGTGACCTTGGGAAGCCATCATGACACTGTGACATTGGAAAACCATCATGTCACTGTGACCTTGGAAAGCCATCATGTCACTGTGACCTTGGAAAGTCATCATGTCACTGTGACCTTAGGAAGCCATGAGATCCCAAGACTGACTTTCTCTTTTAGAGCATTTCTATGAAGCCTAATAATTTTTTAACTTTACAGGTTAAATACTCGACTTCTGGATGACTCTTATCATAAGTGCTTTTGACATTGAATCATAAAACTTGTGTTCAGCAGTAAAGTTTTATTTTGTTTCAGCCTTATTTTCTAACTTAATTAGACCCTTTAGTACACCATACAAAAGTTATCATTTGAGATAGTGAACAAGACATATTTTCCTACACCCTTTCTGGGTCCATATCATTGATCGGTTATAACAAACAGTGATGATAGATCCATAGATAAAAAGATGTTGGTTAAATTTTGTGTATAATAATTCAAATTCCCCAACTTTCTTACTTTCCAGAGCATTTTTTCCTAACTGAAATATACTCTGGGCCCTGTTAAAAAGGAAAAGGAAAATTCCAGTGAAAGCAGGTGTAAGTTGTAACAAATGTATGTCACCAATTCTACAGTATGACTTACCTGTATACCACTCATAGTACTCAGCATTGGTTTCAACTGCGGCACACAGCAAACATAGTAAGGTGAGGTTGAGTACGCAGGGCAAACGCTTTGTCCACCCTGAGGTACCATAGCCCATACTCGGTCGCAGTGTCCGCATTCGGTAAGTCCACTAGCTCCTACATCTACGTGATTGGGTGTAGCTCTCTCACTCTTCACCATAGATAGGCCTGGCGGGACAGAGACAAACAATTAGTCACAGGATGTACACACAGGTTTTTTAGTGGGAGATAGAGACTGTAGAAAAAGATAAACATCTGCTGATCTGTTGTCAGCTGTTCTAGTGTCACAGCCTTATTCTCCTTACCATTCCTGACCCATTGTCAACTACTATTAGGTGTTACTATCCCTACTTATAGAAACATCCGTTTTACTGTCAATTGCTTATATGTGTTAGTAACATAATTATAATTCAAATGACTTCTCCTCTTTAATTACTTTGCAGGATGGTATACGAAGATCTACAAAATTACTCCCCAGATTTAAAACCATTAGCTACAGTCAAAGACTACGCCAATCGAAGCTTCCAACTCAAACATACAGGCACACGTGCAGAGATATCATCAACGTGTTCTAGTTTATGAAGGGGCTTTATTATCCGAATTTGGCAGAGGGGTTAGTCAATTTTGCTGCTCAAGGAAAAATTCATGGACACTGTAAAAAAAATACTCAAACAACATTGTCATTTAGAGATTAGAAACCATTACTTTACTCAGAGAATGATTGATATCTGGAATAGTATCCCACAAGATGTTATTTCATCTCGTGACATATTTGACTTTGAAGAAAAACTTGAGTTGAAGTACGATCATACAGCGCCTTGTATATAGGCTTATTTTATGTTCACCACAATGAATTTCAAACTTTATTGATATGGATATAGAGGCAGCAAGGCCTGGGTCCACTAATACCCTATTAAATCCTATTAAGTAAGTTTCATGAAGAGGGTAAGATAGATATTTGTCTACTGGTATTTCAAGCTCACAATTCCTACTTGATTAACTGTACTAGCTACCAGGAAAATGTGACGACGCCATTTGTAGCAAGCTTCCACTGTTTTATAGACAACGTTTGGGCCTGGTCTTTCAAACCTTTCTAGATCAATTATTCCACACTTAAAAGTTCTTTTTTTATTTTTTGGAGCAAATGTACAATTTCTAAACATTCCATTCTTAAATGAAAGCTATGCCATCCTTGTGTAGGTAACACAGAAGTTCTGTACTCTAACAAAACATACATCTGTACTTTAATATTTACTACCTCACATGTAACCATAAAACCCTATGGGTTCAATACAAACACAGTATTTATATAATTATCAAAGCAGGACTGCCCTAGAACCTGTAATATATAATTGGCTGGTGGGAGCGAGGCTATAAATTCAGGATTACAGATGTAGTATACAACAAGAAGTTATTTCCTCATAACCTACCTCAGTTGGAATACATTTACATACACAAATCCTGTTTTATGTATATATGTAGGGTCACACTCAATTTTTTTACAGTATCCTTAAATTTCAGATAAAGCCTATTTATGGTAACACGGATCTTCTGACCACTTTAAAAGTTTAAAATTCATACAACTATTCCTATACCATTCGATCTGCACTGAATTTATTTTTAGAACAGTTATGCTGTTTGTAAATGCCCATATAAAATCCCTGATTATATACCAATTAAGCAAGTTAATTCAAAATACTAGCTGTTAACATTATGAGCCATTATGTAATTTTACATTTGCTTTGACACAAAAACATTTCTCTTGATCCTGTATTCCTACCCGTAAAACATGATATAAAAGCCCATCCCAGCCATAAGATTTGACAATCCATTTCACCCCACCACAAAACATACTAACCCATCTGATTTCACCTGAGAAACTTAATAATATTAACATTGATAATATTCAGATGTAGAAATATTCCCAGGTAAACACTAGCACTTGTGTTCATCTTCATTTTGTTACACTTATTTGTAGTCAAATATAAATTGGAATTCCTGCCAACTATTGTACCTCAAACTTAATATGAAACTTTTTTCTTTCAAATCGGAAACAATTCCTAGATATTTGCAGGGTAAAAAGATATTTTAATGACTTATCAGAATCAGAAAAATGCAAAATGCTCAATGTCTATGAGTTGAGATTAACTTCTAATAATTTATTATCAAAACACACTGATACAGCAGATTGCTGTGATCAATCTCAATGCTTTGGCCCAGAATGTGTCAGTGGTGTATTCAATAGGTTTGATTAACGAGGCATGTATAGACAATGAGGAAGATTCATTACCTGCCTTTGAAGATTTGGTACCCCTGTCACATAAACATCTCTTTATAGGGTCACTCTAACACCATATCACAGAAAAGCGACACTGGAACTCTTTTATTAGGTGAGATTTACGAGGTTTACATGAGGAGCTTTGTACCTTAATAAACAATGTCCACAACATATTTCTGTCAATCATTGGCGAGAACTTATGGACGAATCAATTTTCTGTCAGATATTCTAACTATTTGTATTTGAACTAACACATAATTCATTTAAAATGGATTATGTTAATTTTGAAAAAGATTATGCTAATTTCATATGAATTACAACATGTTATGATTCGTGAAGCAATAGGGAATACCTTGTTTTGTTTCATACAGTATCGAGTATCCTGAAGATCAATAATGGGAAGAGACACAAAATAGTCTTCAAGCTGTATCACTTCTAAACTAATGGATTTTTTATTCCAACAGCAGCATATTTCAGGAGATTTGAATTAAAGGTCCTATAAAAACTAGCTGGTGTAATGATGGTAACTTGTCTTTATAAATGGTATATTCAAACAAAACAGCATATCATTTCAAACATAGCTTGATCCCGTTTCCAGACAATGCCATGTTTTACATGTATTTCATTCAGCTAGTTTAATCATCCAAAAACTCATTAAAATATATGTCCAAAGACACCGGTTTAAAAACAACATGTTATTTATGAAATATTAAAGGTCTGACCATTGAAATTTGCTGTGATAATACCAATTACTACTCAATGTAAAGCTGGAATCCTGAGGCAGGGGTCTTGTGTCGACACTGAGGCCTCCACTTATAGGTGATTGACATCCTACAATAACATGACTATATTTGAAATAAGAAAACATGGCTGTTAATATTTGTTTTTTAAAGATCACAGGTTCTTCTCGTTTGAATACAAAGCACTATTCAAGATGGATCCCTGGGTAATAGTCCTCTTAGTATTGTCTGCTTTTTGAGCAAATTGGAATACAATCAGCAAGTAAAAAGCGAGACATAGACATTGCAGGTTAACAGTGTAATACTGAAGTGAATATGGAAATAGACAAAACCTTTCAAACGTACACAAATCCCACCCAGACTTCCCACTCTGTCAGTCTACCAGTGTAACCTGCTGCTATTATACCTACCCAAAACTCCAACCAATGAAACAAAGAAATAACTGAGACATTTTTATACCTTCTTCCCCAACACCAAAGTTATTACTATGCTTTTATTCAAACATACAGACTGGCTAATCCATCATTGTGTAGACCCAGTTACATAAACACAGACAATTCATACCACTAGAACACCCTGCTACATGTGGTAAAGGACTGGGAAATCTGAAGGTACGTCATACACGTACAGCGAGTTTATACATTTTGTTCAAGGTAATTAATAAACACTGAAGCTGCAAACAGTAAATTTAAAGCAATGTAAGCATTATATATACTAAGACCTTACATCCATTTTGTTACATAAAAAACTGTATTATTTTACACCTATATAGCCATTTGTTTACTATAGTTTTAAATAGACATGTTAATTAAGATGATTTTTTTCTCATATATTTACAGAGGTTTTGCTAGAAAAATAAGCCTCAGTTCATGTTTGTGTATTTTGAGAATATTTTCACCTCAAAACTACTCTTTGAATCGATAATCCTTCTACCCTTGTCAATGATGGCAGGTAGTGCATGATGTGACATGATATTTAGGCATATCAAGTTTGAAAAATCGACAACTCCTGTAACTTGCAGCTGGCAAGAGAGTATTTTTCATTTACAATATGCATAGCTATCATCAGGGCTTTAAATTACTATCTATATATGAGTGATGTTGTGTAAAACACATAAATATTGCATATAGGTTTTCAATTTCAAGTACGTTTACCACAGTAGGAAACATTGGCATTATAAAGAGATGTATTATAAAACAGATGATAAGGCCGGAGCATCACTTGACGAGATTGAATGAGTTTATCACCCATTATCTTGTCACTAGGTGATAATCATACCAACTTTTACAGTCTAAAAACACCGAGACATACATCTTTAAAATTGAAGACAAATTTACCGTGTCTGGAACACGATTCTACCAGTATAAGTCAACCTGTAATACTGGAATGATAAATGATCGTATTTAAGGGAACATAACTCTTACATAATCACTCTTTTTCACACTCGGTTTTTTACATTTGATTTGAAAAACATTCTTGTCTTAAACTTCATTTATGCAGGCAATCTTCACAATTTCTTCTACGTTGAATTTTACCAATTGTAACGAATCTGAAACATAATATTATTATAATAAACTACATTAAAATATCCATTTGTACATTTGTTACCATGCCAACAAGAAAACATCATCACAAAAAAGCCATGAAGAACTTACTACATAGATACATTGAGATCTAGCTGTCAAGGATAGGTATCAAGAACAGATTTATCACTTCAATAATATGTGCAATTTGTAAAAAGTGAAATGGATATTCCTTTGGCCCCATACATCTAACAGGTATTGGTAAGGACACGATAGAAACCTGCAATGTGTCAACAGGTATTGGTAAGGACACGATAGAAACCTGCAATGTGTCAACAGGTATTGGTAAGGACACGATAGAAACCTGCAATGTGTCAACAGGTATTGGTAAGGACACGATAGAAACCTGCAATGTGTCAACAGGTATTGGTAAGGACACGATAGAAACCTGCAACCATGCATGCTTCCCACTTCTGAGATATGAGAACAATGGGGGTAAGACCATTCCACTACTCTATCCCCCAAACCCAACCCCCTGGCCAGAAATTAGGTGGATCTTCTACAAGAAGAAATCAACAAGATGGAAGTAAGTCTTCTACTAAAGACCACACTACACAGTATACTGAA